GGCTTGCCCCCCAAGCAAGGGGGGCGCCCCCACTAGGGTTCCCCCCCAACCCTAGGCGCATGGGCCCAAGGGGGGGGGGGCGCCCAGCCCACCAGAGGCTGGTTCCCTGCCCCTTGTGGCTCATGTGGCCCTCCGAGAGGGGTGGCCCCTCCCGGTGGACCCCCGGAACCCCTCCGATGGCCCGGTACAATACCGATATGCCCTCGAAACTTTCCGGTGTCCGTATGACAACTTCCCATATATAAATCTTCACCTCCGGACCATTCCGGAACTCCTCGTGACGTCCGGGATCTCATCCGGGACTCCGAACAACATTCGGTAATCACATACAAGTCTTCCTAATAACCCTAGCGTCATCGAACCTTAAGTGTGTAGACCCTACGGGTTCAGGAGACATGCAGACATGACCGAGACGGCTCTCCGGTCAATAACCAACAGCGGGATCTGGATACCCATGTTGGCTCCCACATGCTCCTCGATGATGTCATCGGATGAACCACGATGTCGAGGATTCAATCAACTCTGTATACTATTCCCTTTGTCAATCGGTACGTTACTTGCCCGAGACTCGATCGTCGGTATCCCAATACCTCGTTCAGTCTCGTTACCGGCAAGTCACTTTACTCGTGCCGTAATGCATGATCCCGTGACCAGACACTTGGTCACTTTGAGCTCATTATGATTATGCACTACCGAGTGGGCCCAGTGATACCTCTCCGTCATACGGAGTGACAAATCCCAGTCTCGATCCGTGTCAACCCAACAGACACTTTCGGAGATACCTGTAGTGCACCTTTATAGTCACCCAGTTACGTTGTGACGTTTGGTACACCCAAAGCACTCCTACGGTATCCGGGAGTTACACGATCTCATGGTCTAAGGAAAAGATACTTGACATTGGAAAAGCTCTAGCAAAACGAACTACACGATCTTGTGCTATGCTTAGGATTGGGTCTTGTCCATCACGTCATTCTCCTAATGACGTGATCCTGTTGTCAATGACATCTAATGTCCATAGTCAGGAAACCATGACTATCTGTTCACCAACGAGCTAGTCAACTAGAGGCTTACTAGGGACGTATTATGGTCTATGTATTCACACGTGTATTACGATTTCCGGATAATACAATTATAGCATGAATAAAAGACAATTATCATGAACAAGGAAATATAATAATAATCCTTTTATTATTGCCTCTAGGGCATATTTCCAACAACCACCACATCCAAAAGAGGGTGTCGTCCTACCACCGCAAGTTCACCATCAGCTTGAGGGGTTAGTATATACCACCTCACCAAAATATACAGACCATCAAATAGTTTTTCAGCCCTAGCTACACAAAATGTACATCGTCATCGTCGTCGTCGTCGTCGTCGCCCACAGCCATCACCGTCAGGGATCATGCACGCTCACAGGCAGCACTACGCTAGTAGTAGTGCTTGCCCAACCAGCTCTTGAGCCACAGCACCATGTGAGCGTCTGCCATGGCAACAAACCCAACACCCTGGGCCTTGTTGTCATGCAGGTGGCTGAGAGCTGCCATGAGAGCCTCGTTGCTGAAGTCATCCTGGGTCATGGCAGCGTCATACATGTCAGGGTGGATGTCGAGGGGGCTTGCACTCCCTGATGGTTGTTGCCACCTCCTTCACCGTCTCAGTCACACTGCAAAATGCATTGATCTCCTCCTCCATCATGCCTCCTCTCTTCCTCTTCCTATCATGGACGGGGTCAAATGGCTTGTCAGGGCCATCAAGGACCTCGACGTCCGGGGTCCCAGGGAAGTCTGGCATGGGAGAACCAAGAGGCTCCCCCGAGCCCATGCATGCTTCCCAGTTGCCAGCCCGAAGGAGAAGATGTGCTGCATCTGGCTATAGTTCTGTACATGTGTGTTGAGGAACTCAGCGTCCCTTGGGTGGTCCTAAGAATAAAACACAAGTGTTTTTAGTTGCGATTAGGAGTAGGCAATGGTGGACAGTATGAAAAGGAAGAGGGTTGTGAGCTAACCGCGACATGGCCGGCGTAGTGCTCTGCCTCCAGAACTATGGAGCAAGTGTTCTCTTCCCATGAGGCGCCGCTAAGGTCTCTCAGCTTGGACACTTGGATCCATCGACCTCTTCACTTCCTCGGGTGGTTGTACACCTGGGTGGCAGACACCTCCTGCCCACAGAACTCGAATACCTGCTTCGCAACAGTGTTCAAGTGCACCTCCTTGAAGCCCTTGTCAGTCCTAACTCCACTAGAGATGAGCTCACACATCTTGTTCATCACGAACGTGGACATGAACGGCTGCCACTTCATGTTGTTCGACCTACCATCCTTCTTTTCCTTTGCTGTTGCTACCTTGAGTGCAGCGGCAGCAGCAGCAGCAGGAGTTGGCTCAACGAGCACTACCGGCACATAGAGGGAATCAAACGCGAATACCTCTGAATCAGGTGCCATCTCGGACATAGGCTGCGAGTCCTCGACAAACGATGGAGCAAATTGGCTGTCGGACAGGACAAGGGCCTGACTAAGATCTTGCATTTGCGTGGTCATGTCCTACAATCGTGGCACGCATTGACAATAAGCATAGCACACAACATACCGGACAATCCATGAAAGCAGGAGCATACATGTGCATGGTTCATCACTATCATAGCAAGCACATGCTTCATCATTATCATACTAAGCACATAGGGTTCATCGCTATCATACTAAGCGTACCGGACAATCTATGAGCACGAACATACATCTACAACAAACAACATGCTACAAATAGACCATCCATAGCTACAAATCACAGATCTAAGCCCCCTTTGCTGAACAGATGTATAGAGGAAAAGGGTGACCCAACGAATCAACACAAGCACAAGGTTCAACTTCAAACTCTTTTACTAATCTAGCCTACCACATGCTTGAACATCTAGCCCTACCACAAATTGCAACCGCGGCATAGCAATCAATCATATGAGCTCACAGATCAGACCACTAATCAACCATGCATCTAGATCAAACCCTAGCTGCAACTCAGATCTAGCTAGAAGGAACAGAGAGAAAGGGGGATTGAACTCACAGAGGCCATGGCTGCAGCTCGAGGACGAGAGGGGACGGTCGTAGAAGATCAACGCCGGCCGGTGAAGGAGCGCCGACGCCGTGGACCGCCGGCCGATGAAGATGCGTCGCTTACCTGCTCGTCGGTGCCGATGCGCGTCGGCGGGAAAGCTCGAACGGAGGGAGAATGGTGGCGGGAGTTCGGGCGGTGAGGGAGGGGGCTAAATAGGGGTGGACTCGACGGGAGGTGAGCCGAAATCCTCCCGCCGATTTTTCGGCGACGCGGGCGAGCTCGCGCCATCTCCCTGGTCGCACGAGGAGAGAAGCGCGTCGCCCTCCCCTACCTCGCCCGAGCCAGGCTCGCCAGCTACTGCCGATTCAGGCGTTTCCCCTGGGCCTAGCCTGGAACTGCTTTTAGTTCCTTGCGATGCGGGCCGCACAGTAAACGCAGGCAACCAAACGGGGCAAGTTCTTCCCGCGTGGGCCAGGCTGGACCATATGCAGACAACCAAACACGCCCTTAGCTTAGACAATTGGCATGACAGCTTTGTCTCATTTTTTTTTGGCATGACAGCTCCTTTTCCTGCCTTTGATTATTTCCTTTAGATGCTTTTCCCGCCTTTGAGTTTCTTTTATTTTTTTGAGTGGATTCCGCCTTTGAGGGAAGTGGGAGGCTGCAGAGCACGCACTGCGGGCTTCAATCAATCCTATCGTGCCTTTGGCGTTGGTCTAGTCACTGACCTCACACGCCGCACCAGGGAGAAATGTCAACGGCCAGCTTCCGCTTCCGCCGCCGCCTCCCCCGCCCGCCGCGACCGGCGCTGGAGGACGACGACCTGCTCTCCGAGATCCTCCTCCGCCTGCCCCCGCAGCCGTCCTCCCTCCCGCGCGCCTCCCTCGTGTGCAGGCGCTGGCACAGCCTCGTCTCCGACCCCGCCTTCCGCCGCCGCTTCCGCGTCCACCACCGCCGCGGCCCTCCCCTCCTCGGCTTCTCCGACGACCACCACAGGAACACCTTCCAGCCGGCGCTGGGCGCCCCCCACCGCCTCCCCGGCGGCCTCTTCTCCCTGGAGCTCCACGGCAGCTACACGACCCTCGGATGGCGCCACCGCCTCGCGCTCTTCTTCGTCCCGGTCTCGCTCCAGGTCCTCGTCTGGGACCCCGTCGCCGGCGACCAGCATCGCCTGCCCGTGCCCCCGGAGTTCCGCCTGGACCTGGTGGTGGACAGCGGGGCGGTGCTTCGCGCCGCCGCTGCCGGAGACGCCGGCGACCACTTCCAGGTGGTCCTGGTAGGCAGCGACCCCAAGCAGCCTACAAGAGTGCTCGCCTCCGTCTACTCGTCGGAGACCGGCGCGTGGGGCGATTTCATCTCGGCGCCTATTTCATCCGAGACTTTCTTTTTTACAGGCAAGCCTGCTGTGCTGGCCGGGGATTGCCTTCACTGGTCGGTTGCCGCCCCAGGTTCAGGTTCAAGAAGCATCCTCAAGTTTGATTTGGATAGGCAGAGCCTAGCCATGGAATTGCTGCCAGGGGACATGTATACCCGGGGCAGTCCCGCGTTCACGGTCACCCGAGGAGAGGGTGGTCGGATGGGTTTCTTTTTCTTGTCAGGCTTTACTGCCCAACTATGGAGTACGGTGACCGATTGCGATCGTGCCGAAATATGGGAGCCAGGAAGAATTATCGAACTGGACAAGTTGCTTCGACTACATTCAAAGAAAGATCCCCCGCATATGGTAGGATATGCTGAGGAAAACAATGTGGTGTTCCTCTGGACAGTTGTTGGTGTCTTCATGGTCCATCTCGAGTCATTGCAGTTCAAGAGGATCTCCAAGGCCACCATCTGATCTCACTATCATTCATTCGAAACTGTCTATACTCCAGGTACTAGTAGCATGCCTTTTACATTGTGAGTAGAACAAAGCCGCGTTATTTTTTCATAATTGGCTGATTAAATGCTGTTGATGCCTCATATTTATTTGACCTTTTCTTTGCAATGTCATTGGTCGTTTGATTTCTTATGTTTGTATAACAGGCACTAGTGGTGGAAAAAGGCAAGCAGAAGTTCTCAGGCATTCGTGGTGGACGCGATGTAGACAATACATAAGACAGTTACTCTCTTAGATATGCTGTTGTGATGTATTGCTTGAGAAGGTAAGCTTATATTCTGCATGCAAGTTGAGGTATCTGAACTGTTCTTTTATGAAAACAAGCTGGTAGATTGTCCAGTTGCGATCGGTTTGAGTGATAATTAGGATTTGAGCGAGCGTGATCTGGTTACATGAGTGAAATCTCCTGGTATAATGAGTATATTCATGTTCCCTTCATACAGATTTCTGAATGGACCAAATAATATCCCTTGTACTGAAATTTCTTTTGGCATAAAAAATTTCGATGGACCAAAAGGATCGTATATGTTTGCATTCCTTATCATTTTTCTCTCATAGATTCACATTTTTCTTTAGGTTTTTAATATAGTATAAGTACATCTGGATTAACAAATCTTCATGAAAGAAATGCCTAATGGCTATAAATGCCGCTTGACTGAAGATCTAAAAAAATGTCAGTTGCCATATCTGCTTGCAAACTGTACCATTTGAAGTACAACAAAGGCAATTCTGCATTATTAAATAGTACTACTGCCTACTAGCATTATTATTCCTTATTCCCCTGAAATTGGTTTGGTGATGGTAAATTTTTTATAGCCTCATCTAGCTAACAAATCTTGAGTATAGGAATGCCTAATAAGCTATATAGGCAACATGGCTTCAAATACACTAAAACTCGAACAGCTAGATCAGTAAGCCTTTCTTGCCCCATGGGCCATGCATTGGTGAAAATCTGTGGATGAACAGCGCCTAATCTTCAGTGGAGAATCAGATTTTGGTTGTGCCCTTGGATGCTATATCCTCCTTTATCTTAGCTTCTGGTGGCCTATGTTTGCTTTGATTATATTACATTATAATGGGCGAGTGTTTTGTCTCCCTCTCTCTTTTTGTTTTGTTGTTGCTATAGTTTGGTTAGCACGGCTTCGAGCTGATTGAAGTTGCTACAATTGTGACCACACACCCCTTCTAATCGTATATATGCACCAAGCCATTCGATGTATAAAGTATTTTGGTTCCCCCTGTTATCTGTGTTTGGCACTTTGGCTGAAGCATATGTGTGTACTGTGTAGCATATATTTGGTTTACCTCCTTTGAATTGCTTGCTGTCAGTTTGTTGGTGTTGGAGACTGAAAACCATAGTTTTATATACTTTTCGTAGTATGAAAGCTTTATGCGGATGTATCTCAGAAATAAGCCTTTATTCATAGAGAATCCCCACCTCTCCAAAACTGCGGGGATGATTTTTCACACACGTAGTTATGAGTGGAAATAAATTTGGAGCAGAGAAAAATTCAAAATTTTATGGCCAGTGTGCCCTTTCACCTTACCACTCGCCACCTCTTTTTCAGGTCAGCGGTATGAGGCTTGGAGTGTGCTGCTCGAGGGTTTGACTGATAACCACTTTGTACTTGTGAAAACTCAGTTGTGGATGTTCTCACCATGCATCCCGGTTGTGTTAGTATACATAATATGGGTGTTAGACATATTTTGATGTACCTATGAGACTAGTATAGATGTATGTAACACAGACATATTGTGTAATTGTACATGCGGTGCTAATCAAATTTCCCATAATGTACCATGCAAGGTTTGGTTGAACTGCGAATGTGTGTGCAAATATGTGTAGATCCTGCAGGGAATATGTAGTACTCCCTCCGTTCCTAAATATTTGTTTTTTTAGAGATTTCAAATGGATTACACATACGGATGTATATAGACATATTTTAGAGTGTAGATTCACTCATTTTGCTCCATATGTAGTCACTTGTTGAAATCTCTAGAAAAACAAATATTTAGGAATGGAGGGAGTAGTAAGCAAGGGCGTTGCCTGTAATACCTGCCTGGATTGATATAGAAAGCTTGTCATGGGGTTCCAGTTCGATGCGCAGGACCGCTGTTGTCAGGGCGCACCGGAGCAGCTCAAGCTCATTGCAAAGTTCAATCTGGATGTACTGTGTTTCTAGACTGAATATACTCTGTTTTCAGACTAGACATACTCTGTTTCTGTACTGAATGTACTCGGTTTTCAGACTAAGAGTGGTCTGATAATTCATCATCATTGTTCCCGAAACTTGGACAAGATCAAACATGACAGAAATATATGTGACACACATCACGAGATAGAGTAATGGCATAAATCTCGTGATAATAACTTGTCAAAGATCAAACGGTTCACATGTCAAGCACTAGAGCAAGTCAAAGGCACGCCACCTCATCACCCATTGACCCATCCCTTATCAGAGCAGAACAAACCTTGTTGTCATAGACAATCAGAAAATCGTCGTGCTAAGACACTAAAGGACCATCATAGTAGCATACCAACCATCGTCGATTAAGAGAAGCGTAGATCGAAAGAATCCAACCTGTAGACACATGAATGCATCTGAACATAGACCAGATCCAATTAGATTCACCGCCGTATCCCGCAAGAACAGCCAGAGACAAACTATTTTTAACTAATCACTAAAGGAAACAAGCTAACGCTTATTAATAAAGTATTAAGATCTCTTGATTTGGAGCCTCCTTATGTGTCGGTGCATGTGGGGACACCAAGGGGTCTGTCTGTAAGTGTGCATCGTTAGTTAAGTGTTTTGGGTTTTGTTTTTTCCTTCCATTTTTTACTTTTATTTTTAACATTTCAAATTCATGAATGTTTATTAAAATTCATGAACATTTTAAAAGTATTAAATATTTTTAAAATTCCGTAAACATTTTTCCCTATATATTTTTGAAGTTCAAAAATAATTTTAAAGTTAGTGAACATTTTTTTAGTTTTAAACTTTTAGAAAATCACAAATATTTTCAAAATCTATGGATATTTTCTTAATTCATGAACATTTTTAAAAAAGCTATTGTTTTTTAATCCACAACATTTCTAATGTCCATGAACATCTTTTCATTTAATGTTTTTTCAAATAAAAACGTTAGCTGCTTTTTCCGAGCTAGCATCGGAGCGAGCGGAAAAAATAAATCTAAACAAGCGAGCGGAGCAGGGAGCCGAGCTGAGCGAGCAAGACCTTTGGGGGCCAACCTGTGAGTGTCATAGCAGGAATTCTGCAATTTCAGCGTGGAATAGGAGCTCTCATGTGGCTTACCCAACCGCTATCAACTGACACCGATACTGAAACGTGTAAAGACATCATAATCACGCACCAAACAATTCACTTCCCTCTCAGAGCAAATACTATCTCCAACAGCAGTCTAGTATGCTATACGGAGAAAACACCATCATAACATAATTAAAACTCAAGCCAAACCTAGATAAAACTAAAAACAATTCAACCTAATAAAATAATCTATACTACCTCGGTTCGTAGATATAAGACGTTTTGACAGTTCAAATTGAACTACTAAAACATCTTATACTTAGGAATAGAGGGAGTACTAGGTAAAAGTGAGTTAATCTCATAAGCGAAGAACAGCATAGTAAAGTGCGCGTTAGCCTATCGTAATACACAAGTTATGGTGCTAGACGCAAGTTTGTATGGGTACCATGGGAAATGAGCCGATAAACAGTAACCAATCACAATGTAAGAAAAAGCAAGTAATCAATCACATATAGAATCATAGGCATAGCTTCATTTTTCACAACGAACGAACATCGATCACGTGACACACTCTCAAGAGTATTTAGGCGATATGCTCTACTTATGTGCTTCTTAGAAGTGGTAACACATACCACATGAGTAGATTTTACATAGTAAAGCGAGGATAGTTGACAATTATTGGGTACATTGGTAGGTTGGCATGCACAGAGTTTATTTAGGTCCGTCATATCGTCGTTCGACACGCCGGTTGTAGTCGAGCATCTAGACGATGCCGCCGATGAGGTTCTCGGCGGCGTTGTCAATAGGGAGGCCAGCGCCAATACTCACGAGCTGCACTGGCGCGGCCAGTGTCCCGGTGATGCTGGCCAGGGACGCGTTGCACGCGGCTAGCGGGGTGACCACCACCACTTTGCACTGGTTCATGGCGAGCAGCGATGAGGTGACCCTGCCCATGTTCATGGTGTAGGCTCCGGTGTGGTCCGCCGTCGCGCTGGCCATCACGTTACGGCCGCACACCAACCGCACGACGGTGTCTGTCCAGAGCAGAGAAGCAAAGCAACACATATGACGGTTGTGTATATGGCATCCGGGCAAGAGGCTGGCAGAGGTGCTTTGCTTACTCCGGAACGGCGGTGCCGCGGTCGCGTTGATGGAGTTCCCAGCGCTGCACAGCACTACGCCGGAGACGATCGCCATTGGAGGCTGCTTGCCCGCCTCCGCACCGTGCGGCGCTAGGCTGACGGCGAGGGCCAGGAGAGCGGCGAGAAGGAGGCTCTTGGTTGCCATTGGCTTGGATCCGCTCGATCGATCTCTCTGTTGTTGTATCTGTGAGAGGATGTTGTGCTGTGCTGAGTGTGGTGCATGGATACCCCTTTTTATAGGCGTGCGTGGAGGCCAAGTTGCCACGGTTTAACACGACTAGGAGGCCAAGTTGGCATATGATAAATCGAGCCAGATTTAAAGAAGGACGCCGATAACGCCCACCCGTGTGGGTGTTAAAGGGATCTGGCCACACGTTTTGTTGGTGTCTAAGAGAACCAGTCCACACGCATATGTGTGGTCAAAACAAGTAATGCCCACACGTCTTTTTTTTGTCTCGTGGTCCCTCCCACAAGCCTACGTACGAGCAAAATAGATAACGCCCACACGCCCGTACGTCAGGCCTCCTACCTCATGGTCCCGTACGCCCCG